ACTACTCGTAGCACATTTTTTAGTTTATGAAATTTCAAAGTATGAAGTAAACTATAGTTTACTAGTTGTATACTGCTAGTATAATTGTATGTTTTATTTAAATTAACTTCTTAACATCATACGTATAGGCCTAGCTTCACAAACAATGCTTAGATTAAGCCAAAATTAGACCTTATAGTTAGACATTTAAGTAGTTTCATAAATGTATGTTGAGACAAAACAATGGCACTGATATACTTTAATACTTGTCAATGTAAGTTGCTTTCAGTTAAACCAGCTCAAACATGCATTTTAGTCTATAGGACTTAATTATACTGTTAAATCCTTGATCAAAATAATGAGTACAAGTATAGGCCAAATACACTTTAAATAAAATTACACTTTAAGTACTTATACTGACAGAAAAGTATATTTCTGAAAAGTAGTCTGAAGTTTACTTTCTAATTTTTGTTTAAATATACTAATAGTACACTTGAATAAGCTTTGTTTTTGTAAGGGCTTGGTTTGTGTTCATGTCTTCTACAATCTTTCCTCTACACAAATTCCCTCCACTTTACCCATCTCTTCTCCCTCTCATTTTCCCCATTCTACTCATGCTCTCTCATTTTCTTAAACTCGCTTCTCTTCTCCCCTCATCCCCACCTGTTCCACTACTCTCCCTCTCATACACCCATTCCTCAACTCTCTCCACCACCGTCTTTCGTTTATCCTCCTTATGCTTATTTTTCTTTTTTCTTAATATTATTCGTATAACATTGTTTTGTTTGTTACTTAAAAAACAGTTTTTATAGTTATAGAGCAATTGTGATGTACCATTTAGAAAGTGTCCTGCGATGTGTATATTATTACGTAATCCAGCATTTACCAGTTTGGGGCCAACTTAAATCATTGTGCACCTGAGAATATGATGAATTACAGAATTTTTGTTTGTGTTTGGAATACCATGCTCCAAAAGTTTTTGATATATTAAAGATATATAAACATTTTGTAAACTCGTGTGCACTGTTGCATGGTGTGAACACATTTGAGAATTTTGTACACAATGTTTCGGAAAATTTTATGGATACAATTTATAATTTCTTTGAAATAAATGAAAACTTACAATCTGTTTAGGACAATTACAAGATATGTTCAGATCACTGTGTTGTAGATGCCTACAGCATTCAAAATGAAAAATGTTTGTAGGCATCTCAAGTCATTTTTTTGTATAAGCTGTATTTTTATTGTATTGATAAAATAATTTTTTCTCAATCGGTTTGAGACATTTCTCCAAGAGCAGTGATCTGAGTTTGGAGAAATGTCTCAAATCGATTGAGAAAAACTATAAATTATTTTAAAAAATACAATAAAAATACAGCTTATACAAAAAAAAATGACTTGAGATGCCTATACAAACATTTTTCATTTTGCAATCACATAATTTTAGTCTATTTTATATTGCTTAAGCTCAAAAATGATTCTTAAAAAAGGAAAAGTTTAATTAAAATGCTTAAATTCATGAAGAAAAACAAACATTTGTGTTATTATTTGTCAAAAAAAGATGTGTTTTAAAATATTATTACAGTAATATTTGAAAAAATGTTTCTGCCAAATCAATGTCAGTGTGGTGTAACCAACACGTGTAACCAACACGCAGTAATCTACTGTATTTTTTTTATTACAAAAAATAAATAAATAAAGGCTAGCTATATATATATATATATATAAATATTTCACATTTATATTATCAAAATATTTATGAATCAAAATTGTTTTTATTTTATCTTTTTTTTTTACCCTGCTTTTGTCATATGTATGTGTTTCTTTTTTTCCCCTGTGAACTCAAATCCATTATTTTACTTTTTACCCTTGTTGCATTTAGAAGAGTCCCAAAGCAGAACTAGTCAGAAACACATCATGTTTTTATTTCAGTATATTGATATAATTACCATGGAGGTCAGAGTTCTCTTTGTTGGCCGGATACAGTCCTGTCAGTGAATTATGGTGTCTGGGAATCATCCATCTGCTGGGCTGGTCGAGCTGAGCAGCATTGAGGTGTGTGTGTGTGAGAGAGAGAGAGAGGGGGGGGGGGGGGGGGGTATGGTGAGACAGTCACGGTATGGACATGCATGTTTTGCTTTCCTGTGTGCCCGTGACAACTTCCTGCAAAACAGAAACCTTGGGGAGCCATCTCACATCGGACACATGAGCCAAAAATGCAAACACCGGAAAGGACAATTCTTCTCCATTCATGAATGGTAATGGAGTTTACATGAACCCACAAGCAGAGAGTCTTCCTCAAGTCTTCCTCAACCACTGACCTGTCTGCTCTAAGCCTGTCAAACCTGTGTGTGTGTGTGTGTGTGTGTGTGTGTGTGTGTGTGTGTGTGTGTGTGTGTGTGTGTGTGTGTGTGTGTGTGTGTGTGTGTGTGTGTGTGTGTGTGTGTGTGTGTGTGTGTGTGTGTGTGTGTGTGTGTGTGTGTGTGTGTTGTGTGTGTGTGTGTGTCCTTATACTGGATGTGTACTCTGTGTTCCTGCCAAAATACAGAAGAGAGAGTTTCCTTCTGGGACAAGTGTCACTAGGCAACCACTCAGTCATTAGTAAATGAGTGTCAAGGTTTGGGGTCTGACAGGAAAGAGGTTGTCGGGTTTTGATATGTAATGATATGTTTTGTTATGAAATGTTTCTAATAAGCCAAATGAAAGACCCAAAAGAAACCAAACCAAATCTTCAGATATCAAAGTTAATGCTATAGAATCTGCTGATGAAATCACAGCAGAGAGAGTAAGATTAGACTGCAGTACATACGGCTGGGAGACATCAGTCACACGTTTGACACTGCGGATCTGCATCTTATGAGGGGAATTCAGACTGAACCAGCTGCCAAAACACTGAAGTACCATCACTGCACACTGCTGAACCGATTCAATTATCATAAAACATATACAGTGGGGTTCAACAGTCTGAGTGCACTTGAGAAAATGTGTCTCTAATTTAATATAAATCTAACAAATTCATTTAGAATTTCAGAATTCATTAGTATTAGTGGGATAGTTTTTAACTCACATTTTTAACTCTATACATTTTTGTATATGAACCTTATTGCCTTGCCTAAAAATTCCACTAACTGCCCTAGTCCACTGTATTGCCCACATTTAAGTTTTTGAAATCCATATTTCTCCAGATTTCTGTTGCTGCTGTGTTCAGTCTTGGTGTGGATTAACATTTATATTTTGTTTCTTTTCGTTTTAATGCTTAAAACGGTTTTATTGCTTAAATTGTAATGCAAGTTCCCAGTTTTACAGACAAGGCTTAAGTCCCAGACTACAATGCATTGTTGAGTTGAGTTATTTTAACTAAAATCAACTTGTACTCACAATAAGATGTAAAATCTTAGTCATTTATGACAATCTTATTGTCACTTATGGCACATTTATAAAATGTCCTAATTGAACTAAAGCTAAGCCTATAGCCAACTTACCTGTTGTTTTGTTTATTTTTCTTATAGAAGCTGTGAAGTGGGTGCCATTTTTGTAGTATATGTTTTTCTCCTGTTTTGTGGCCATGCAGTTAATACCTATATTTCTGTTGTTAATTTATTTTTATATTTTACTCTCAAGGCAGAACTCTTTTTTGTTTGTTATTTTGGTCTTGCTCCCTTCTGAAGCTATAATGCTTATTTAAGTTATTTTAAATAACATGTTTCTGTGTTACAGGCTGTAAATAATAATAATAAATGTGATCTGCTTAAAACCCTATACTCGTGGGACGTAACACTGTGAAACACTGTTTACATTATACAGTGACCTTCCAGATCAGGATAAAAATATTTAAAACCTGGAAAACACTGAATGTGTAATGCCATTGCTGTTTTATTATTGTTTGTTCATATAATTCTTCTTCTTCTTTTTTTCTTTTTTCTTTTTTTTCAAATCCAAAATTCAATCTGGACCATCACAAAAAAAATAAAAAAATGCATGTGTAGCATTGTTGTTCTGGTGGAATGAATGTCTCTATCTTCGGTCTGATGGAACAACAGCTTTAAAACTACCAGTAGAGTAGAGATCAGACACAACATATTTGCTGTCTCTTGGGTTATTTAAGGTTTTCCTTTCTCAGCCAGTTTACCCAAGGTTAGTCTTTTTCTATTAACTGCATAAAGTTCACAGAATCGGGTTATTATCAATTGTACTGATCTATTTTTGACCCAGTCTACTTGTATGTACGGTTAACCTTCATCCAAAAGCTTGGATGCTTAATCCTCGCCCAGACCTTCGACCCTGCTTTCTCTTTATCAATCCCCCCTCTTACACTTTCTCTTGCTCTATATTACCCCCACCCCACTTTCCAAGTTGACCCTCATGGTGATTTATGCAGCTCACAGATGCACAGCTGCAGCAGGTCCCCATGCTGACCGAAGGGTAGTATTTACCGTGACTAATACATCCCAGATCTCCAAAACACATGGAGACAGAATGAGAGATATGTATTAAAGAATTAAAAAAGTATTTCGTTTCTGCATGTCCTTCACAAAAGTTACATATACTAAACAGTTACAAATGAGATTTTGTCTGAATTTGAATTAATGTTTTAGTTTCTGATTGATTTGATGCCCTGCCTAAATCTCTGAGACCATGACTGTTCTTCGCATCTTTTGGTTGAATTTTTTTTTTCAGGACATGTTTGGATTTTTAACCCTGAAGGAGGCCAGAAACATAGGCCAGAAAAGCACCAGTCAACTAAAGTCACTATAAATGCTCTATAACAGATATATAAGCGGATTCATCCACACTATGACATAGAAATAATGTAATTAAAATCTTAAAACTCCCACTGAGCTGATTTTTGTGCTATAAATTTATGAAAACTTAATGGAGCATATTCTATTGGTCAACGGATTTATTGGAGAAATTCAACCCAAACCATTTACAAAAGTGCTTCTTTCTTCTTGTGCCATTCACGCGTAACTGACAGAGGACATTTGAATTTTGAAAAAAATATATTTTATTTTCACCATGGTGTTCTCACAATTTGTGTAAAAATGTATAAATTCTCTTTTTAAAAAAGAAAACGAAAAGGGAAAATATATTTTATGCACTGCATTTTAAATGTTCGTATATCTCTGTACAAAACACACACAGAAAAAGTACAATACAAAACCCAACGCTTGTTTGAATGGCGAGTCTTCCGAAAATCTCCGTCGCGAGGAATCTCGCTCACCTCTCGCGCTCCCTGAGTGGCGGTTTCATCTCACGCGCTGCTGCCGCTGCTACCGGCGTGTCACGCGCAATGAAGTGATTCCCCGCATGCGGACGCAGTCAGTCCCGTCCTTTATCTGCAAAAGCACACATAGACAAAAAAAAAAGTTATATGAATGTCAGGTCAAACAAATATATCATCTAGGCCGCATCCTTCCGATATTTTTGCCAATTCTGTTCTATCATTTTCTTTTTATTGGGCCAACTCACTATTGGTGTACATTTAAAGTAAGTAGCCATATTGCCATATTGGGAAATTTATTTTTATAGGGAACTTAAATGATTTTAAACTTTATACTTTAACACTTTTTATTATCTTCTGGCACCAACATGAGACCAAATGTAGGCTATTATCAAGATCACACACAAGTAAAAAAAAAAAATTAATAAAGGCTTAATTTAGCCTATTTTAGAGTACATTGTTTCATTCTTAAAATTTCTCTTTCATTTTATATGCGTTACATTTCAAGGGTCCTTCACACTTGCTGAGGTGCGTATATCCGCACATCCTAGGCTATTTGCCGTCCATAGATAGTCTATTATAAAGATAAATGCTTATTATTATTACACTTTTCAGACCGTATCAGTAATTAAATGCATTCTCTCACAGCAGGGTCATACATCTGAATGGTCTCTTACCCCTTTTCTCTGGCTGCTGAGGCAGAAAGTACATATGGTGCGCGGCTGCTTTCCTCCGCTGTCGCCCTGCGCGCTGTACACCGCGCTCACGCACGGCTGCGCGTCCTCTCCTCCATCCCCTATCAGGAGCACATTGGCCAGATGTGAGATGTAACTGGAGGCTAAGCGCAGAGTCTCAATCTTTGACAGCTTTCTGTCTACCGGCTCGGTGGGAATAAGAGTCCGTAACGCCGTGAAAGCCGTGTTGACGCTCTGCGTCCTGTCGCGTTCCCGCGCGTTCGCTGCGTTCCGTTGCTTTACTATAACCACGCCGCTCGTGGACTTGAGTGTCATCCGCCGCCGCTTCTCCGCACTGGGACAGCAACCATAGCTCTGCTCCGAGCTGCCGTCGCTCTCGCTGCGGTTTTCCTCATCCTCGGACATCATGGCAACATCCGAGTACGCTAGATGAGTCGCTATGGGCCGAAGCATGGCAAATGCCATTACTAAAAAAGGTTTGGACAAGAACTCGAAGAAACCGAGAGGGAATTATCCAAAGTATCCAAAAGGAAATGATGGCTTGTTGTCAAGCTCTAGCCACGCAAACACTGCATCGCCAAACCCTGATGTGTGTTTCTCTGATGTACTTTCAGCAGTTGATCGATCTCATAACATGTTAAAAGATCCTCTTGATGTGCGCCCTTACAGTCATTCCATGCGCGAGCAGCTAAAGCAGGAGAAGTGCGCGCGGTCTTTTATAGGGAGGAGCGGTCAGACATATGCAAATAAACAAAGCTATGGTCTCTCACACACTCGCTAAATCATATTTGAGCACAAAGTATTTATTTTTAATTGCTGATATTAAATACATTAAAATGAATACATTCAAAGGACAAAGAAAAACATAATGCATTCCCATAAAATAGGCTTACCAAAACGCCATGTTTTTGGACAGATATGCTATGGTATACTAAGAACCTTGGCGCACAATAAACACCATGAAATAAAATTCGAAACACTTTATTTTACCGTACAAAAGCCTAATTACACTGGAACAAAGACACCTTAAAATCATAACCCGAATTATAGCCTGTTGCCATAATATTTTGTCTGCATCACTACATCATGGTATTTTGCCACAGTAAAAGGCAAAGGGTTTTTGTGTTTCGATTTATTTGTAGCCTAAATATAATTATAATCTTCAATTTATAGGCCTATTTATAATATTAAGTGTAATTAATGTAATTAAGTAGTTTATTCATCGTCTTTATATTGTTGTTGGTAGTTCTGTTTCAATGATGATCCTTGTTTCTTGTTTTTTCCCTTGTATCAGTTTAACATCACTTACAATCTTACAAACTTATTGTGTAGGCTATATTTGTATTTTGTATCTAGATAGGCCAACTGTAAAATAAAATAAACCTCAATTAAACTTCAATTAAAATAAAATTGAAAACCTCCGTTTAATTGCTCCCCTACACTGTCAGAAAAAAAGGTACGAAAGCTGTCACTGGGGCGGTACCTTTTCAAAAAAGGTACACTTTTGTACCTAAAGGTACAAATATGTACCATCAAGGTACCAATATGCACCCTTTAGGTCCAAAAGTGTACCATGAAGGTACCAATATGCACCCTTTAGGTACAAAAGTGTACCTTTTGAAAAGGTACCGCCCCAGTGACAGCTTTCGTACCTTTTTTTTCTGAGAGTGTATAGAGTTTAAACAATTATTAGCTTATGGCAATATGGCATTACAAAGTCTAAAACGGGTTTATTTAACCCGTTTTAGACTTTGCATTTAATTATTAGTTATAATTTTATTATGGAAAGAGATCAAGAAAATAGACTTTTAAGAGCTCGTGGAGTAATATGAACCTTCACTGGGGGAAAAAACAGAAGCTGCACCTGCAAGTATGGCTAACTCATGGCCGGTGATTATCCTCTGAATTTACTGCTTTTATTGCGAGGCCATTTGACAGAGAGGCGTTTAAAACAACAGTGAGCCTATAATGAAAAGTGCAACAAACAACATGGCAAACGCACTACACTATAGTGCTAATGCTGCAAAAATCAACATGTTTATTTACACAATCACTTGTCATCGTAATTAACCTATTAAGAAGTTGAAAAACACATTTTAAAAAAGTCATATTCATCCGCGAATCGAGTTTTTTTTAAGTCAACCCGAAATGGAGAGTAGGACTACATTTGCTTTAAAATAGGCTATACTCCTTTTTTTAAATTTGCACTCAAAATCATATTAGACTACTGTTTTCGTTAAGTGAGAGTTTTAGACCCGCTGCGGTTTGTTTTTATTCAGTGGCTCAAAGATCACGAGGCCATGATAAAGAACAGTAGGGGTCTCTCTCTCTCTCTCTCTCTCTCTCTCTCTCTCTCTCTCTCTCTCTCTCTCTCTCTCTCTCTCTCTCTCTCTCTCTCTCTCTCTCTCTCTCTCTCTCTCTATATATATATATATATATATATATATATACTGCATATATATACTGTATGATTTTTATCAAGCTTGTATATTTAAGTTCAGTAATTTCACTTAAATGGCAATGAAGATCACCTAGTGAAATTATTGAACCTAAATAGATACAAGCTTGATAAAAATTATCATTCTAGAAGAACATTTCAAATGGCACATACTGTTGGGTTGTTTCAACCCAACTTTGAGTCAAATATGGACAAACCATTAGGTTAAATTATTACATTTTTAACCCAGCATTTGGGTTAGTCCATATTTGACCCAAAGTTGGGTTAAAACAACCCAACATTTTTTAGATTGTATATATATATATAGCCTACACACACAGTGTATATACACACACATATTATATAAACAAACTTTTGTTAGATGCAATTAACTGCAATTAATCGATTTGACAGCTCTAGTTCACACATGACATTTAGTTCTTCACAATCATTTAAGTTTTTCCTACCTGTCATAATTCGCGACTACACTCTAAAAAATGCTGGGTTGTTTTAACCCAATTTTGGGTCAAATATGGACAAACCCGAAATGTTGGGTTAAAAATGTAATGTAAAAATTTAACCCAACGGCTGGGTTAGTCCATATTTGACCCAAAGTTGGGTTAAAACAACCCAGCATTTTTTAGAGTGTAGCCTTGTCATATAAGAATAACATGTCTCACTGCTTTACATTCATGCTCTGACTGCATTACTGTTTCAGTGCAAAGGAATGCTAGACCTTAAATCATCCATATGGTCTTATGTGACCAAACTCACTAACCTGTGACCTCTAATCTTTGACCTGAGGTTATGTGCCCGAGCAATGTGACCATTCTCATTTGGTCCAATAATCGCTATGTTGCATTATGCATAATTAACAGTGCTTTATTTAAACAACAACATTTTATGTAAATTAATTGTCATTGTTTGGGCCTTTTGACTGGGATTTTGAACTGGAACTCTGCGTTTTGACAGCGTAACGACAGCTAAAGCACAGTCTCTAGCTCTAACTAACAGGTTCTAGCTCTAACATGTCCTCAGCAAGATAACAAGTAAAATGAAATTCACATAATTATGTGTGTCGGTCTTTCAACTGTTTGGTTTGTGGCCGAGGGGCAGAAGCTCTGCTTCTGTAGGGGCTGAGCTCATGCAGAGATGGTTTGTTTATAGCCAGAAGCGGGTGTTGGGTAAATAAACATGAGGCAGATGTTAAGAATGATCTAAGAAAGAGAGAGTGAGACAGTGGCAAATGGCTTCCAGACCCTTTTTCTCTGTCTCATTTATTTTCTCTGTGCTTCCATGGCCTGTAATATGTCACTTGGAGCACCTTTCACAAACATGCCAGTGTCACTTTAACCCGGGACTTTCTGTCCCCTCAGCTGCACCAACAACCCCCTCCCACCATCTACGACACTTACGACATTTTCAAAACACCTGCACGCTGTTTTTACAAGCCCAAGGGGCAATAATCAATGCAGCTCTGCCGATCAATCATTGAAAAAAAGAATTGGTGTAGAAACAATATCTTCTCGGAAATTGCTATATTTCACAATTTTAAAGAAACAGAAAGTAACACGTTTAATAAATTATTTTGAAGAATAAAAACTGAAAGTGTGCTTTCTAAAACATACTCCAGTAATCTTTGCTTTATTAAAAAAAAAAAAAAAAACACAATATATAAATGTTCCAATCACCAAACAAATTAATAGTGTTCTGTTTTTAGAAATAAATTGTATTGAAGGTAAATAGTATTAAAAAAATAATTTTAAAGAATTTTTAGATCGTATAATTTCATTAACATAAATTTAACACGTCCCCAATTCTTTGCTATGTTATGTATTTATCATGCAATGGCAGATTCAATGTTCTCATATGAGTTGGATGGAATGAGTAAGTGAGGTAAGACTGCAGCTGAACACACAGATTTTCAAGACCAACAACATTATGTCATGAGAAACCAACAGTCTTGCTTAGGAAGGAGTGAGAGACTGGTTAGGCTGTATAGGGTTCATGCATTTGAGTGAGACGAGCAGGTGTGTGTGTGTGTGTGTTGGGAAGTGGGGGTTGACAAACTCCTCCTTCATAATACAACCATAATCTTTAGCATTATATTAAAGGAATATTCCAGGTTTAATAACAACAGCATTTGGATAATGTGTATTACCACAAAAAATAATTTAGACACTTGTTCCCTTTAAAATAAATTGCAAAAAATTGAGATTACAATGACGCCCTAAAATGCGGCCAATTTTTTGAGGATTTAAAATAGACATTTTAATCTTATAATTTTAGATATTTCACAAATTCTGTCAATTGAGCTTATTTAACCCCTGTAATAATATTCCTTTGATAAGCTGCTGTCATAGAGAAACACACATTTGAACTTGTGAATTCCAGCTCTATGACTATAGGGTCAGTGTCCGATGACTCATATTGTGGCCACATGTGATGGGGGTGTGTGTGTGTGTGTGTGTGTGTGTGTGTGTGTGTGAGAGATAGATAGAGAGAGGGAGAAAGAGAGAGAGAGAGAGGAAAATGTGTTTTCAGGATAGCTAATTCTTCCCAGTATTTGCAAGTCTAATGTCAGTCCATCCAGAGGGGATGAGAAGTCCATTATTCATTTGCATGTAACTCTGCAAATATGCTGAAACGGTTTGGTAATTTTCCCTGTGTGAGTGTGCAAGTATCTGTCATTATTTTGTCATCACATAACCCTCCTGGACTACAGCGTCAGCAGAGGATTCGTACAGCGCACAGAGCCACAGTGTGAAATCAGACGCTATTCAGGGAAATGTTGACTGACCCCTGCAGGTAAGGGTCAATGGTAGGATCCTGCCAAAAGCTGTACAGGAAAAGGAAGTCTATTCATGTCCTATTGCTCCATAACTCTTGGACTCTGACATACAAAACAAGACCATACAGCAGGAGCACCAACACACACTTAATGAACACTTTAAATTAAGTTTTTAAGTCATTTGAAGAAAAAGTGACACGTGAAGGCCAAGTAGGGTAACCTACACTCACAATTTGTCCTCTGCATCCTTGACCCGGCAACCTTCGTGTGACCAGTCTGAGTCTCTAACCATTATCTTATTACAGAATAAAGCAAGTCTATTTCAACGTCCTGTTTTCAAAGGCTTTACTATTTATCATATATCATTTGTTTGTAAATTATTCCTGCGTAAATTGTTACATTCAATTTAACAAAAAAATGATGTAAGATAATGTTTATGAACGACACATTGTGCACGTCGTTTATGAATAAAATTCAAATTAACAGGATAAAAAATAAAACAAATCTATTTTCTAGATAATTGATCTTATTGTGAACAATTCAACTATGCATGTGTTTCATTAAAAAGGTTTTTTTTAAATTAAAATGTCAATTTCTAATCAAATAGGTAATGTGCATTACATAAATATGACAAGTTCTACAAAATATCATTCACACTCATGATCTTACGCTCAAGAACAAGAGGAGGGAAGGTCGACTTCCAGGTCAAAGCCTGTGTCTTGTCCCCTTCTGATCCTCAGACAGAATGGATTTGTCTTGGAGAGATGATTTCTCACGCCTGTCAAAAGCAGAGCAGAATTACATCGGTACAATGACAGGTGCCTGAGGTTGAAATATTCATGAGACTTTCAAACATCAGTATACTTACAATGATGTTACAAATGATGTAAGTGAAACCTTACCTTGAGTACCTGAACCATTCTTCTCCCACCATCTGTCATTCTTCATCTTTCTCCTCCTTGTTAGGATGAAAAATCTTTGGGAAGTAAGAGACAATCTTACAGCTTCCTTTATTTCCCAAAAAACAGCAGGTGCAGCCCACGCTTCCCAAATTGGGTGTGTGTCGTCTCTCTTTCTTTGTGCCTCCTCAATCAGGGGTTAATGCGTGTCAGGACATTAAGGATACATTTTTTCCAGACTGTGAGGAAGCCACAGGAAGTCTTCTCACACGCGACCATTCTTTTGCCAGAAATTTACAGTCGGTCAGGTTTGTTCCGCCGAGGCCCGGGGCCCCCTCTTCACTTCCTGAGGGGCCCCAAAGGGAGGCCAAGATCAGGGCCGGGACCCCAGGGACTCGTATATCGCCAATGGATAAACTCTGTTATCTACCAGCAGAGATCTACAGGGTAGTAATCGCCAATCACAGGCCTGTGTACCTTCCTCCACGATCAAAGGATGCGACTGTAAATACATGATTCCTGCAATCTGTTGATCTTCAGCTGAACGCTGTTGCTATAAAGATCCCAAGGTAACACAATATCTCTTAAAGGGATAGGTCACACAAAAATGAAATATTATGTACTGACCCTCACGTCGAACCTCTATGACATTTTTTTTTTTTTACTTCAGAACACAAAATAAAATATTTTGAAATTAGTTTGTCAAAAGAGTTCTGAGGGTGATGTATTTTTGTAGGCCAAAACCTAGAAACGAGTTAGCATTCTTGCAATTCTGGTTCCATCATCCTGAAGTCATGGGTTTTTGGTTTAATGCCACAAATAAGGTCTATGGTAGACATGAGGTCAAGATATTTTCACGTTTTAGTTTTAGTGAAACGAAAAGGCTGCTAAATGGGACTAGAGAGCCTGACATTAAACACCATCAGCTAAACAGGAAAACTCATCTACTCACTGATCCGCTTTTACAGCATCATTGTGCTTATAATCATGCTCTTCTAAACTTTTATACCTCAAACACAGGATAAGTGTTTTTTAAACAAAGACTGAAAGAGTTGTTGGAAGCTTAGGGATGTGACATAGAAGCCTACGTTTAGCTTTTTACTAATACCGATTGCATTTAGGCCTCAATATTCATGAAAGTTGTGTTCATTTGGGAAGATTATCATGATGAACAAAACTTGTAAGGCCGTGTGCCCACCAAAGCGTTTTTAGCCAGCTGAAAACGCAAGACGCTCTGCTGAAGAGCCTGTGCTTTGGGCGCTTGAGAGCATTTTGGCAGCGAAGCGTTTTTTCCGTTGAGACATTTCATTGCTATGATACAGAATATTCACAGCAGAGTTTACTTGTAACTGATTTCGCAGATAATTTGTATCATACTAAAAATGTATTTTTCACCCATTTTGTTCGGTTAGCTCTGCTGGTTGATGTCGTTGTAGAATGTTGTGACAGTTGGTCAGTGTGGTTTGGTCCCGCCCCTCCTCCACTGTGATTGGATGGCTGGGTAAGAAGTGACAGTGATGAGTGCTGCGTTTTATCCAAAGTTGAACAGTTTTCAACTCACGTGACCATTAAAAAACGCTGGGCGCTCGGCGCTTCAGCGTGAAAAAAGCGTTCAGCGCCTCGTTACGCTCATGGCGTTTAAAAAACGCGGCGCTCCCATTGAAAACATACGCCAGGTGCGTGGAAAAACACTTTGGTGGACACACGGCCTTATGCTCATGGCGTTTAAAAAACGCGGCGCTCCCATTGAAAACATACTCCAGGCGCGTGGAAAAACGCTTTGGTGGACACACGACCTAAAATTCATAAAATTCTGTTTATGAGCTTATTTTCTGCTATAATCCAACAGCCAATGGAAAATTCCTATTGGGTTTTGGCTGAGGGAACCAGAGTCATGCTAACTTCCGGGTTAGTCATACGCCATTACTGCATCACTCTATGCCAATGTTTATTTATTTATTCATTTCAGGTTTATTTAACAGGGACAATGCACACTAATGGTATGATTAAACGTACAGTGTGCAAGAATTAGCCAATAGGCTACATCTGATTTTGATATGTCACACCTAAAAAAAACATTAAAAAAAAAAAAGGTTAAAAAAAAAAAACATTGACTATCAGTGTGTGGACCAAATGTTTTTTCCAATATAGGAAGGTCAGGCAATTTTGGAGCGGCTAGCAATAGCAAGCTAGATTTAAAGCATTAGATCCCACCCTCCTTTCAGAGCACTGTCAAAGCCACACCTCCAAAACAAATAAACGCGGAGCAGATTCAGCAAAGTGTCATGAGAGACAGCATTAAATAACCTCATGTCTCAAAGAACATACAATATTAGGATGTAACATACTATTACTATACTATTAGGATGTAACATACTATTAACATACTATTAGGATGTAAAGGGTTTCAACCAGAATAACAAAAAGTGTTAATAAAAAAAAATTGCCTACCCTACCTTTAAGGAGATTTACATATGCAAAACATTGAAGCTGCTGACATTTGCAAAGCAATTTTATTATGAAGCCATTCCACATAAACTGTTGCAAAATTCAGAAACACAATCAAATTTGTCATTTTTATTATATTATTGACTGAGCCACCTGCAATTTTTCCTGTCAGAGATTCTCGGGTTCAAAAGCTTCAGTCATTGTTGTTGTAGGGTCTAAGAGGCCTTTTGCTATGGATATTAGGCCAAGGTCAAGGGTCAAAAGGAAATGAAATGCCATTTCAAGGAAAAAAATCTGAGGTGCCTGTCCTCTGATCTTCTCCAGACAACAGCTGAAAGTAGAAATGATTGAGACAAGGTTTTTTTTGTCAGACTAGCAGTTCCACTATATGTCCTTTCCAATAGTCTAACTGTGAGCTTCAATCCATCTATATATAGCAGTGTAATAAAACAGAGCTGCTGCATTCATTCTTTTCCTTCACTCCAGCCTGCAGAGGAGAAGAATGCTGGCCAGTTCTCATGACACATGACCCCCAACATGTCCTGCCATTATAGATGAGCTTCAGAGAACGTCCTACAATTCTCATGCCCTTCCACTGGCATATAAAAAAATCAATACAAAAAGAGGTGAAGAAATGTAGTGCATCTAAAAATACACTAAGTGCATAGTTTGGCGTTGTTATATTAAAATCAGCGTGTAAAATTGAAAGCAGAACAGTAAAAAAAAAAGTAAATAGCGAAATTCTTATGACTCTGTGCCAGACAATCATCTGACATCAGAGTCCACCCATGAGACTCAATCTCAAAGCTTGCGGTCCAGAGCACAGACATACTGTAACCAAGTCCAATGGTCACCAGACAGGCACATGCCAGTGGTCATCTTTTGGACGGTCATGGTGTGGTTTGGCATAGGAATGTCAATGGAACAAAATGAAAACAATCATCAAAGGTCAAATAAGCCTAAGCATCAAATGGAAGCATACAATACAAATCTGCCTTTTATTTTAACCAATTAAAAGCATTAATGCAATTAGAAAAGAATAAACTCTCTCACTTTATTTTTCTAATAAGATATGTAGCTATTTTTTAATAAAGTTAAATAGCATTTAGGTTGCTCTACAAACTGATTTTGTATGGGAAGCCCAGCTCTAATCAATCAGTGTTATAATGCTGCCACCTGATGGTCAGGCAAAGAACTAACAAATGAACCTGTTTAGTCATCATGACTTGAATAATACACACTCTAAAAAAAAAAAAAGGTTCTTCAGCGGTTCTTTGCGGTGGTCATGGTGCTATATAGCACCACTACCATTTAAAGAACCAGTTTGGTTCTTCAGTGGTTTTCTGGGGTGGTTAAGGTGCTTTATTGCACCTCTTATGGTTCTACATATAGCACCATTTGATAAAGATAAGTACTTACAAGTGGTTCCCCTATGATTACAAGCCAATGAACCACTTTTAGTGCTATACAGCACCATTTTTGTTTAGAGTGCAGTGACCACCAAGAATAAGGATGTTGGGCAAAAGAAAAATAAATATGGCATATGCCATTTGTTTTGGATCATTCAAAACTTATAGCTCATTCAAAAGAATGAAACACCTTTAGAGATATAACTTGAAAAGAAGCTGACACATCAAACATCCACATTTCAGTCAGCGTTATAGAAAACACAATCATTCAGATGGCTGTAAGTGTCAATGCAGGTTAGCCAACCTCAGGTCTCTGTTCTCCCGTGTCACAGTAGATTCGGCGTGGATGCTCCCAGGTAAGTGCGCAGGTCTGAGGTGTTAGATTTGATGATCTTGGCAGGTATGTATTTCATCTTTAATCTCTGATAGGCAGCAAATCGATGACAGCCTCCAAAAGAATAGTAATAATTGCCCCCCTTTTCTCCAGTGATCCAAAGCACGTCTATGGGAGGCACAACGGAGATATCCGAGCCCTCCTAGAATATCACCACATTACATCATCACTGCGACCTTATATAATGTCACAAACTGATTAAACATAATTTAACATTAAATTCTTCTAACCTTTATGCTGGTCATGAGGCTTTGGACCTTCTGCTCGTCTAAAACAGGCGGAATGGGTCGTATGATTACGTCCATTGGGATGTTATGGACGTCCTGGATGTTGTCTGAATGGATAGAACGGTTTTCGATGGGTAAACTGCCCATGTTTTGCCTGAAAATCGTAAATGGATTCACACTTGAGGCATCGATGTGCTTCCGGAAAACACCGCTCAGAGTTTCAATTCGAAACATCACCAGAAAAAGTTTGACCACACGGCAGGGAAGTACTTAGTCTGCGCATGCGCGAGTAATCTTTCCTTCTCATAATCTCTTCCTGTCTGTTTTTCACACTGTTAAAAAAAAAAAAAATTCAAGATTTGTTATCACAACACATTTTCTTTTGTCAAATCAACTTTATAATAATTTATTTAGTTCAGATAACATATAATTTTGAGTTTCTGATGGTTAAATTAATCTCCTTCATTGTATTAACTCACTTTTTCCAGTTCAATGAACTTAAAATTGAAGGCAACCAGGTTACTTACTTTTTTAAGTTAAACCATCAATATTTTTTTACAGTGTACCATCAATAAAAATCTTCATGATAGATTTCCTTGGGGTGCCATTTTCCTGTTTATCTCTGCGATACAGCAGGCAGCTGTTGACAAGGGCAAGATCTGTGAAGTGCATCTGTCCACTTCTTCGTCCGCACAGACATTTGGTATAGCTCATCTTCTGACATGTCAACACCTCCCATCTCTCAGTTGTACTCACACACAATGTCATGTCACAGTCACATACCTTTTTCCCTTCTTGGACCACCTGGCAAGTGTCTTCTGGCTGCTCTGAGTGAACAGTGGAGAGCATCACAACTGGCTTGTTGTCGTACCACTTGACCACGCATAGTTTCCCATCTGCCCTGGTTACTGTGGAGACAGCACCTCTCCCTTGGTCTTTCAGGGTTTTGTCATCGGGTAACTTATTTGTTTGACTCGGCCCTTCATCACTGAACCAGTGAGATAAATATCATTTCATGTTCTGCAGTGAGAACCATCTTTTTTTATATGCCATGTTTCAGGCTGTTTACATTTAGGCTATACACTGATGTTTACATTTTCAAATAAACTATGAAAATTTGGACTGTTAGCCTACTGTTACAGTTTGCACTTTAGCTTTTTTATTAGCCATGTTTCAGGCTGTGTACATAGGCTATACATTCTGGTGTTTACATTTTCAAATAAAATGTGAAAATGTGTCAAATAATTTTTTTTACCAATGGAGTCTATTTGTGTCAAACAGTAAGATAGACCCACTGTAGGCCTACTCGTATGAGGACATTCATTTGAGAGAACTACTTACTAAAGTTGTGATAGACCCACTGTCTTCACATTATGCAAAACCTACTTCCTGTACAAATTTTTTTTTTTAGTTATTATACTTATTAGGTCCTACTTATCCCAAATAGCAAGAAAAAGTATAAAATGCACACCAGGCAAACTCTCGGGTCTCAAAATGAAACAATTAAAAAAAATGATAATTAAAAGTTGTATTTTACTAAGTAGGTGTGATGTACCAAGAGTGCGTTTTTTACTGTCTATGTATAAATCCAATTCAACACTAGCCTTTTCGAAAAAAAAAAAAAAAAAAAAAAACCAACAAAAAAAAACAAGGGCTGTTTGTTTTTATCGCACTTATTTGTTTCCCCTGTAGGCTAAACATTTTTGTTGTGGTCTGTGTCATTGCAGCGCCTTTCTGTATTGGTTGTGCTGTGAACTTTTGTAGCGCGTTTCTGTATTTGGAGCACAAACTGATGATGATATTTGTTGTGAAACTGATGATGATATTTTTTTTTTATTTGCATTGTGTTTTTTCTTCTTCTATTTGCATCGGTTTATTTTTCTATTTGAACGCGTTTTTTTTTCTATTTGCATCTGCTTCAGTTGCAGCGCGTTGAGCTCTCTCGGTCACCGTAGAATTCATCCTGATTCGAGTAGCTGAATCATTCACTTAAACGATCATTCAAAACGTAATACTGATTCTGTGTGATTCAACTGTTTACTAGCTTTGGCTTCGCTTGACTTTCGTTGGCGGGGAAAATGGACAGCGGTACTGGCAGTTGTGTCTTAAATGTAAGTTTTAACTTATTGTATAATGAACTTGTGAAAAAAAAAAACGTTTAAGATCCGTGCATGAGCTTAGCATACCGTCCTCAAAAATACACAAAAAGCTCTTTTTCTCTTCAAAGATGGGACATTTTAGTTATGTTTACAAAATATTGATTGCTGTATATTAAACACTAAAAGTGCAGTGCCAAAGGGAGAGTATTACACCGTGTCCTAACTACACGCGACGCGACGCCGCGACACGCGATAAAAGGTATCTTTTCCATGTTAATCAGAGTTTTTGTCCTAACCAGACGCGACGGCGACACGCGAAGTTTCAAATTTAGAAACGGTTCCTATTTCTGCGACGTCGCGGCTGACAGAATGAAGAAATTACACTGGTTATAGACCATTTCACAAGATGTAAACAACACTGGTCCAGAAGCACTTCCTGTTTCAGTTTTGTAACTGTTTTCTTTATTTCACATGTAAAGAAAACATCTTAAAGATGTTTGTTTAACTTTTTGATTCAGTTTTAAATGTTCTGTTGGTTGTATTTTATCCAGCTTTTATGTAGTGTTAAAAAACTGAAACAGGAAGTGCTTCTGGACCAGTGTTGTTTACATCTTGTGAAATGGTCTATACATTATTTATTTTTAGTTAAAAATAGGTCACTGTGCCACAAGCGATAAGGATAATTTACCTCAGATTTTGAAAGCATGTAATATAGCGTTCAAAATGAATTCTATGCAAACATACAACTGTACTTCATAACAAAATTAGTCAATGAGTATATTTTGTTAATGTTTTTAATGTTATTTCTTGATTTGATTGTCCATACCCATTTCCAATGCGAGTGCGGGCCAACAGTGCGCTTTCACAGAGAGACTCTGCTCACATCATAGGCTCACACGCTGTTCTGAATGTGTGGCATCTCACAGTCGCGTCGCGTCTAGTGTGGACAGACACTTGCTGTCGCTGGAATTTTATCGCGTCGCGTGTAGATAGGACACGGTGTTATGTATTTTGCACATTTATGAGTATATGTAGCAAAATCTGCACATGTCTCCTCACTTTTGTTGGCATTAAAGATATTAAATTATTTTATATATATATATATATATATATATATACAAAAACCTCTCACCTAGTACCAGACGTCTGAAGCTTGTTCTGACATTTCTGATTTTATTTCTAAGCTGGCCAAAAAAAAAAAGTCCCCAGAAATGATCAATCATTTGTGTAAAAGGCCTGACAACATAACCATTGCCAAATGCTAAGACAATTTACTGCAAATGTGTCCCTGCACTACACTGGACATTTGGCATGAGAAGGAACGAGATCTGTCTACAGTAGGTGAGGTTTTTTGGAGCTCGGCTCACTTTTTCTCTCACTGTGGAACAATAATGAAAAGGAAAATGAACATTTGGATCTCTAAATGCTGTGAACTGATTCTTCTGACAGGAGCAGAAGGGACGTTTGGACCTACTGCCAGCAGGCTGTAACAGACAGATGGGTTTTTTACACAAACAACAGAAAACATCAAGAGCAGTCAGGCTGGCACACACAGAAGAATCAGCAAAGGGAAGAAGTCTGGATAATGAGACACTGCTAGCAGGAGATGATAATTCACTCTGTGCTGTGAGAAGACAAACTGTCTACTCCATTTAGAGTTCAACTCCACAGTTACAAAGCCATATGGTGAGTTCACTAGTATGATTTAGTGAGTTGTCTTATTTTAATTGTATTTAGTGCGCCATCAGGTTTTATAAAATATAGTGTTATGATGGAAATTACAATTTCATATAAAAAATGTTAAAGTCACAATGAAATGGAAATAAAGACAGAGCTTTTCTTTCATATTGTGAAGTACATCCAAATAAACTGGATTGTCAATAAAGAAAGAAAAAATAGGGCACAGACTTTTCATTCACCGGTTTTTGATTGGATGAAGTCAGATCTGAATGAGCATGTCATCAGAGAGAAGTCTGTCTGAAGTTATTCAATAAACATGAAAATACATGCATGAATTAAATCAAAAACGTACATTTAGAAAATATTAATTTACAGTGGGTTTGACACCTGCGAGATCAAAGACTGATATCGCGGGATTTACGCTCGTGCACAGTGTTGCTAATAAACTAAATAGGAAAAAAGGCTACAATTTGCAAGAGCTCACCAAAATTGGACAGTTGAAGACTGGAAAAAATGTTGCCTGGTCTGATGAGGCTCGATTTTTGTTGAGACATTTAGATGGAGAATGAGAACAGAATGAGAACTCTAATAAATTAAACTAATAAATGAACTTTCTATTCATCTAAGAATCCTGAAATAAAAATGTAAATAACTGTTTTTAACATTGATAATAACAGTTATGAGCATCAAATTCGCATATTAGACTGATTTCTGAAGGATCAAATGACACTGAGCACTGGAGTAATGCTCTCAGGGATATATAACATTTTATGACATTAAAATTGAACACAGTTATTTTAAATTGTCATAATATTTCACAATCCCGAAACTGTGTATATACATTAGCAATGACTAATATTGTTACTCTAAATCCGACTGCAGGGAAATAAAATCACCAGCAGATGGCGGGCAAACATCAGATTCCTGTTGATATCAAGGTATCAAAACCACACACCAATGACGTTTTGAACGCAAAGGACAATACTGAGTAAGTACTGACATCCAAATATGCAGCACAAATATCATTATAAGTCCCTTACAAAAACTACTATGGTGGTACCTTTGTACAGTGATTACATCAGATAGTGATGATACTGTCACATACCATTCACATTTTTGCAATTAACAGATTTCATCCAAAGTGGCTAACAAAAGGCATTTATATGGCGGCACGTCTAAAAACACATGGTAGTAATAGAGTACTTATTTTGTTTATTCTGGAAAACCACCAAATTAATTTTAGTTCTCATGATTTGAAATTTGGGCCGTCAATGGTGAAAGATGCTGATTGGTAACAGAATGGTGTAGTTACAATATCTACACCACCCAACTCTAACACCTTGATGGAGCATATTACCTATAAATTGTTTCAAATAACAGTTCCTTAATGTGAAGTGGGAGCAGGATTGAGCATTATCATTGTGTTGGGAAATTTCCATTCGCCACATCTACAAGTGAGGGAGAGTCAGGGGAGAATTAGTTCCTCTTATCTCCTCAAAT